ATAGCATTCAAAGTGCTCGGCAAAACGAATAGCAGCGATATGCCAAAATTATATCATTTTACGTTTAATAATAAATCTGATTTCGCATTAAAAACCAGGACAGCTTAGAGAAGACAAACAAGAAGCCCATGCAAGCACCGTAGTTTATTGAGAAATCGAAAAATGGACTATCAATGCACCAACTGAACGGAATGCTTTCAAACGCATCCAGTCGTTCAAATGTCGCCTCAGTGTTATCAAATCACTAATCTATAGGGCCAGCAAAAATGAGGACAAAGGTCACAAGGCGCAATTTAAATAGGTTGTTAATTTCGAGCAATTTCAAATACCATGTGTGGGAATCCTCCTATTTAAACCATACAAAGTATGGAAAAGCAGCAACTGAAACAATACCAAGATTAGAACTTACTAAATCTAATGAGCTTTTAAATAACCCTGTAAGTTGGTATCTTTAGAGAGTTCAGTCAAGAAATTTGTGATGAAACTGTGAAAGTAGTTTTCACATGCACCGAAAACCCGAAATCCCCGCTTTCAGACGCACACATGAAACCTAGCAGATACCTCAGTAAGTCTGCCTATAGTACATTCAGACCGCATTAATAGCACAACCAAACGCACAAACTAACAGATGAACATGACTGACAGGACCTAAGTTTCTGAAAAATGTCTTGGTGCTTCGAATATACAACATGTCGTAATAAAAGCCCAAAGTAAATGAATGAGAAAAACGATAGAAACGCTCGTGGAAGTGAATAAACATGAAACGAGAGTCACCAAATTTAGCATTTCAGTTTGGAAATTGATTCAAAGCCGTCCAAAGGAACGGGAAATTAATGCAGCGAAATACGTAACGATCACAGCTATGTGAAAAAATCGAGCCGAGCCTTAATGAATTAGTTCACATAGAGTTCGGTTTAGCGATACCGATTACGAGGCCACCCAGAGACACAAGAGGTAGCTTTAATGACCATAAAATAGATCAATCTAGCTAGACTTTGACTGCACAAAATCCACAAAAAAGCAGAAGACGTGCGCAATCAATGTGATGCAGATGAACGATATTCAAAATTTTATTTCGTAAGGCATATTCAAACTACTAGAATAACCCATTCTTCTGTAGTCGCTACATAAACCACTAAAAAACGAAGTCAGTAGGAATTATAAGAAATGTAACAAGATTGAACAATTGCGTTATCCTCAGGGACGAGGAAATACAACCAGTAACTTGTAAGGAGCAACAGGAGCTTCAGCACAAACATTCTAAGCAAATGCATTTCCAGAACAAACAACCAAGAGGAATTTACGTCAAGATGAAACTTAGAAAATCAATGCTTTGACGGTCAAGTAAATCTCAAGACCGTTCCTTACCATCTCCATGAGAACGATATTCTTATTCAGGTAAGATAAAATCAAAAAGATTGATGCGTTTAAAATACGCTTTGAAACGAAATTACTCTGGCACCTAAAGAGTGATGAGATCGATGGGGCTTGAGGGTTGGGGTCGAAGTTCTATAAGCTTGGCTCCGAATATAAGCAGTTCAGAAGTCATTTCCGCATAAAAATAGGTGCTATATTTGCACTCAAACGTATTATTTAACAAAGAACAATTCAATGTCTTATACGCTAGTTGTAAACACAATAGAAGCATAAAAGAAAAATGAGTTGAAAACCTAACAGGCCACACATACGCATATAAACACCAAACCAAAGTAAGCCAGTCAGTGATGGCGCGAATTAGCAAAAAACATTTAGCCTATTTATCGCCCTTGCACAAAAAAGGCATTGTGTATCTGAAGTAGTCTGCTATAATTGATAACTTTAATCTAACAAAAGTATCACAAGGGAGGAATTATTGTCCGACTGGATCAAGTAGAAGAATTTTTGATTCCAACGCCGTACAAAACAATGAAACACCTCACGTACCTGATGAGCGCGACAGATCAAGTCGAAGTCATGCTTAGCGAGGAACTTTGAGACGATATCCGCACCAAATGTGTAGCTAACACCGCGATCATTTTCTCCCCAAGTGGTAACATCCTTATCTGGATCAGACCATAGCAAGTCGCACAACAATCCCTGATCTGGAACATCTGTTGGCCTGGTGATTCTACGAATCTGATCCATACTATGCAAATCAGGCGAAAGACCTTAAAATGTCAGCGGTTATTCAGTCATACCACCGTGACAGCAAAATATTTTCTCATCAATAATAGCTGCTAGAGGCAAGCAATTGAAACAATCCGTGAAAACCTTCCATAACTTGATGTTATATCGTCGCTTGCCTTTGGCGAACATCATCAATAAGAAAACTTACATTCATCATAGAAACCATAAATACGATTAATTGAAGCACATTCGTGATTCCCTCTCAGAAGAAAAAAATTTTCTGGGAACTTGATTTTGTAAGCCAGTAGAAGACAAATCGTTTCGAGTGACTGTTTTCCGCGATCAACGTAGTCGCCAAGAAATAGGTAGTTTGCTTCAGGCGGAAAGCCCCCATATTCAAAAAGTCGGAGCAAGTCGTAATACTGTCCATGAACATCCCCACAAATTTTTACTGGTGCCTCGAGCTCAAGCAATGCAGGCTGCTGCAGAAAAATTTCTCGTGCTTTTATAGCAAGAGCACGGATCTCAGACTCAGAGAGTTGAACAGATTTGCCAGGTCTTGAACCTCGAACTAGAAGCAGAACATATGAACAGGGTGTAGTAGTACCTTCAAGAAGTTTTGCAATAACGTTATCAACATTCAGTCGATCGACATCCGCCATCTCACGAGGGACTAGCAACAGCGGAGAACGACAGGTCGCGCGACACTAATCAAACCGAATGACCTTTATCAAAACATTCGAAAAAAATAAAACAAATGTTAATTTATTTATTTAAAGTGTGACCCACAGCATACTCTAGTTACAGCGGTCATTGAGTAAAATATTTGAGTGACAAAAATTAATTGGAATTAAAATGTCCAAAATCTATTGACTGATTAACTTACGTCATCTTCCACAGATTGCCTCGAATTTTGTCTATGTTACCCCAACTCATAAATAGCAATCAATGTTGTAGCTTGCCATCAATTGCCCGAATTCCAATTATCATAAAATAACGGATTCAGAACGTAAGTTTTGCAGAACACTCCTACGGGT